CTTATTTTCGAGGAAATTATAAAAGGTCAAAGAGTCCCATTAAATAATTTTCGAAACGGTTTTATTAAATATTGGAAAGTCAAAAATTATAGGGCGTGTCTCTCTGATTCAAGGAACACCCTATTATTTTAGGGACCTATTTCAGTGGTTAGTTTTCATCTTCTTCAACGCAGTTGTCATTAGAGCAAAAGTAAATATAGTGTAGAAATGTGGACAAAAAAAAACCAATATAGATGTTTTGGGACAATAATAATGACCAAGTAGACGGAAACAAACGTGAAGTACCTACTTAAAACAATAATCGGTTAGAAATGTAAGCGAAAGAAGTAATCACGGTCCAACAATGTTTGTATGTTGTAGTTAATTAGTTTTTCACATGTACAAACATATCGGTGAATGTTACTCATCCAAAGTACAAACCTTTACACACCGGTGACTAATAAAACTACTCTTCAGTTTGCTATATGATATAATGTCATTTGTCGGCGCCGTTAGCCCCTCAACAGTACTAACAACAATGACGTCACTGCAAGTGGTACCTAATCAACTTTTTTTATGGCAAATAAAAGTGTGTTTACAATAGGCGCGTCTTCCTTATGGTGAGTCACCCCGATTTGCGTACTATCCGTTAGTACTAAAATTTGCAGCGTTGTCAAACAGGTGATTTATGGTAGACAAGTGTGTTCGGAGCATGTCTATTGTAGCATCGAATCTAAAAAGACTCTGGCCCCAGGGTCTGTCGCGACAATCGCCTGTTCGAATCTCGAGTTGGTGTGGAATCGGTCAATCGGTGCCTTGCGGTTCCTCTCTACCTGGTTGTCGGGGTGACGGCGAGTGAGTCACCTTTGCTCACAGACTAGCTTCAGACGGCGAGCGCACCACAGACGTTAAATGAGTCAAGTAACTGGTCAAGGCCAACGGCCACCTTCTAACGCTCATTTTGTCCAAAACATACTGCAGAAAGAAAAAGGTAGTACTCCTTTAATGACTCACCGAACCAACTTCCACATGTTTGCCGTCGACGACACATCAACCAAAAGACACCGACGACGAAGAAAAGCCGAGATATGGTCACGCGGACCGGCGGAATCGGATTAGGCCATTTTATCGCACATTTGAAGACACGTCTGATTTCTATTTTAATGTGTACGTAGGTCAAGTAGGGCTAATGGATTGTGAAAATAAATTGTTTTTTGTTGTTGTTTGGTAACTAATTTTAAATCCGAGTATCTTTGCGACAATCTCTAGCCGTACCTTTAATTAAAATTATCAAATGCATCCATATTTTAAAATGTTATTTGTCACTCGATGTTATCATATAATTATATCTCGAAGGGAATGTGTGAACAAACCACTAGGTAAATTTAAAAATAGATAAATAGTGGATTTTACGTCACAGTAAATAGTCCCAAATGTGATGTTTTTACAACGGAGGGAAAGAACATCTGGACTGTACGGGTCTCAACTAATTTTAAGAAAAGGGACCCAAATTCTCGGACTTGAATGTAAATATGGTCCTCCTTTTGTACCTGCTCTGACAATAGCATTATGGAGATAAAGGGCAGTCTAATGATTGGGTATTACAGGTACTACCACCGAAAAGTTGATTTTATCAGATAGGTATATGTGCATGTGGGGATTATTAACAGGTTATTCTCTCCATTTTTCTAATTTAAATTTCCAAACATGCAAACTTGTTTGGGTGGATAATATGCACTTATCTAAAACCTCGACCCCTCATGTTTAATTAATCATGTACCACATTCAGGAATTAACTTGAAATATTGTTGCAAATTTTAATTGCTATTTTTCATAGGGCGCGCCTAAAAAAAAGGACAAAAAATTATAATAAATATGAGCTTTCTTGGTATTTAACGATGCATATCTAAATGAAAAGCATCAACGTGAAGTTGCACTGATTTGGATACGAGGTTGAAGGAACTAGTCTTTAAACATGTAAGCAGATTAGATGGGGCTTTTAAGTAAGGGAAAAGCGGGGGTTAAAGACCTATTTATTTGGGTCGGTAACATTAATAATATGAAGTGCTTTACAGGTAGCATACACTTCATTTGAGTGCGGTGGGGATAAAAGAGATGTGAATCACTACGTGATTCAGGTGTTTTGTAATGCATAGGTACTTGTACTTTCTTCGGAATACCGTTAGCCTATCTCCGTTTTTCTTTTCGGCCGATGACTCTGCGATTAATTGGCAAATTAATTATCAACCAACTTTATTAATTGGTAATTGCAACCCGAATAACAAAGAAATTTCCGTCAATGCCATTATCACGTCCTTGGTCTAGATATGGTCAAAGCTGCTGCATTTCCCCCGAGAACAAAGGACAATATAAACTGTATTATGACGTTTTAAAACCGAATGTTGCGCAATTTTAACGCTACACATACAAAGATATTGCCAACTATATTTGGACGGACCGCCGCGGTCATCCATTCATCGTACCACCACCAAAGAAAAATCTAATTTTATTGACGAGTCCATAAATTTCCGACATGCGACCGCATATCACATGTTTCATCAAAACACTTCCACGTGGCAAACAAAGGAACACTCTTCTTTAAATTTCACCTTGTCTTATCGTATAATAACACAATTACGACGAAATTTTATGTTTGTGTGTGTTTTCTTTCGATAGGTCGTTTGTGGTCTCCGATATTTCCCTAATCGTTCCAACACTGTAACTTTCTTTGTATCTACATAATAAAGTGGATAATTCTGACCTTGACATTTAAACACTGCATCTCAGTGGGAACATTTTAATTTACTGCAGTGGTAAACAATTTATGCAACCGGGACAAATCGATAAATTCTGCATTTTCAAGTTTTAGAACAAAACGTCGTTTCGGTAATTGTGTTAACCCAAATTTGAGACATAAAGTGCTTGCGATGTTTACTATCTAACGCATTTCGCCTAGACACTACGCATCGGTCACTTGTTTATCGACTTTGATGATAATAATAATAATAATAATAATAATAATAATAACAATGGTGAAAACAGATGATATACCGGTGGTGAAGCAGGTGACGAAATAACCTTGAGATGTGAAAAATACCGATGATTTTACTTCGAAAATATTTACTAGAAAATTCAGATCCTGAAAATTTGAATCATCATGTTAATTATAATACGGTCAATAAACTTGTTGCATAAACAAGCGCAATAGTGAGTGTACAACACGAAAAAAAGTGCATGCACCATCTTTATCGTTATTTATTATGTGATAACATTGACATAATTTCAAGCGTACAATTTGTCTGGTTGTTATTTTAATTACAGATTATTAATACTGGTTTCTCGGATCTGGCCGTCGCGTTCAAGGTCAAGTCTATATCTATTTGTACCCTTTTTATTTTGTGCATTTTGGAAGTATGGACGTGATGCCAAAAAAATGGTCAATTTCCATGCAAGAAAGTAAAGTCAGTGACCGAGCCTCGCTACTAATCAAGGCCGTTATCCGAAATCGCGTCCTAATGCCCTTGAAACATGGGAACAGTTTCGCTTCCTGTGTTTTTCTTTTGTTCTACCTATCGCTAAGACACGCTTATGATAATAAAATGGGTTAGAGACATCAGTTTAGATAAGCAACTTTGATTAACGGCCTTCGAATTGAAAGAGATAGTGTTATCAATTATAATACTACGTATTAGGTTTTGCTGCGAAAGAGGAAACCGAGAGGTAAAATCGGCATCCATCCCATCGAGGTGTGGACACCTGCATCGTACGATTAAAGAAAAAAGTAAAGTTAAGACAGGTTAGAACCTGTCTTAAACAACTAGAAATCGATTAGGATGAGATGTTATTCGGAGTTATAAAACAAAACAAATCTCCGAGGCGTGTGCCACTGGATCTGAATATCAATTAACCTTACCGTTCATCAAAATTGTCGCCATTCGTTTTTTTGACCGCCGCGGTCAACGCAAAACGATATTTTTTTGCGAAGATTTTGCAAAATAACACCTGCATAAATTTGAGGTGGAGTTGTTTTGACGCAATTTTATCGTTTACGGTTGGCACACTCTCATCCCATAAATAAAAACTATCATTCCGTGACAAAAAAAATGCAATATCTCTATCCTAATGAAAAAATGAGCAGCACGTCTTGTTTATTTCATTAAAAGACTTTTTATTACTTTTAGCAATTATGTCTGCATGGAAAGTGAATATCAATATTGAACTGTACGATCGGGCTGTAGACAAAAAAATTTTTGCTCGCGTCGAATGATAATGAAAACATGGACATCACCTTCATGCAGCGAAATTACAAATTTATGCTATTTGTGTGAAGCGAGTAATTGTGTCGACTGTTAATCTAATTGGAGCTCCCATAATGACCAATTTCCAAGGTTCTACTAATTACCGGGTTAAGGTCAGATTTATGTTTTATTTTGCTTGCAAGCCGATATTGTGCTTTATCGGGATAGATAATGTGGTTCTTTGTTCATTAAATAACAATAATGACCCTAATAAATGCGATCAAAAAATAAACGGACGCGGAATACCACTCCGTGAACGAAATCGCAGAGTATTGCATGACGTTTTCTAAACATGTCATCAGCGTTCACCTAATAGGGTCAGATCCCTCTAGAAACGTCGTTACTTAGTAATGCCAATCTAACTACGATTTCCGCGGGCGCTCCTAATACCTTCTTTGTTTTCCCGCTCACGTTATTAATAACGATATTTTATCCCCTGATTATCGTTAAGTATTTACACCAAATATTTGCACAAAGCTTGATTTTCGTTAATTGAGCTTATCAACGTGAAAACGTATCAGAACAAAGGCGCGTATTCGTCGCTCTGTTGACATCGATAATAGTGGCAATGTGAGAAAATGCACAACAATTGCACTATAGGCTCATATAGGAGAACAAAAATATATGCAATACCGTTAAATCACGTCGTCACCGAGTCAAGGTTTTTAAAAATATCGTGTACCTCGCGGAGAAAGAAGAGGGGGGGGGGATGGCCGTATATTCGCAATCGGTTCGCTTGACACTTATTTCGGCGAGCTATTATTGTATTTTTGGTGTATTCACGTTCGAAGTGTAGCCAGAGCGACGTAATATTTGACCAATATTAAGCAGCGTTTTTGGTAGACACGCCTATGTCGTACGTCTATTGGTTGTCGGCCGGGTCTGAGTTTTGTGTTCTATAGCCGTGTGTTTTGGGGGTAAGATCCCGTGCTGCACGCTAAATGTGACGGTGGAACAGGCAGTCTATCATCTGATAGCTTTGTGTCGCCTAGGCAAGCACCTAAGCTGCAGTCGATGTCGGAGTGTGAAGCAGTTCGGGTGTGTTACTACAATCCTGGCGCACACCGCCTCGTGTTCACTTGTTGTGTTTTGTGTTACGTAATTGTATTTTGTTATCGACAGTTCTTTGAGGGTTTTCTTTCCATAATGGCAGTTCCGTTCGCCCTGCCGGAGGACGAGATAAACAATCTTATAGTAGCAGTGATATTTATCTTGTCGCAGACTCGTCTTCAGAGGACGGAGGAGACTCGTGAGCTCCAAGGTAAGTTTGATGGTGTAAGCTTTGCGTGGGACGGCACGTTTCGGTGGTGACTGTGGCTAAAGCTAAGTGTTCAGTGTTTGGCAGTGCAAGAAGTCGGACTTGGGGACCTGTTGCTTGGATCCGCGTCGTCTTCGTTTAGGTTCAGGGTCGGCCGTGAGACGATTGCTTGCTTAGCTTCTCGATGCTTTCCCGATACCCCCACGGTGAGAGTCGTTGACACGGGGAAACGGGACAAAATCGTGCAAAATCACGTTCACGCCGCAATCGGGGAAAAGTCAGGAAGCGCCTCTTCACTTTATGGATATAAATAGTAAGACCGTGAAGTGATGAGCGATTAGAAATGTCGCGATTAAACGGGAATATTTATTTAAGGGTGCTAATTACGCAATTATGCTCAAAAAAAAAAACCAATACACCGTCCCATTTTCTCGGTACTTCAAGTCAGGCACGTTGTTCCTCATTTTTTCTCGGAGCATGCGAATGGTACAGCGGTCTTGTTTGAGTGATTATGCTCAAGTAAATAAATATTGTGAAATAAGCCTTTTACGAGTGGCCTTGCAATTCGCAACGTGTATGCAATCGATACCTACGTAGTAGCAAACAGCTGTGTGCAGCAAGCAATATGGTCGCGTACGCGCCAAATACCTCGGGCTTGTTCACTTGTGCAGAACGGCAATTAGCAGTCTCAACAAGTCGTGATTTTGATTTGGTATTTGTTGCAGAGTGTATGGAACAACTCGTGAGACTTCTTGTAGAAGAACTTGAACGAAGATCGCGTTCTTCCGAATACGATAATCAGCTCAGGCAGACGCTGTTACTTCTTCGTCAATCACTAAATCAGTTGACGCCGACTTTGGCCAGGATATCATCAAGAAGATCGAATTTTGAGTCCTGTTGCGATGACTGTAAGATATCCCTTCACGAAGACTGTGCGACGGAAGACTGCAGTCAGGTTGGTCTCGTTCCTCGAAAGGTTGTCGACGACGAATCGTCCGCGATTTTGAAGGTGGGTGCGTGTCAGATCTGCTGCTTTTGGCTATCGACACTTCGCCAAATTTTATAACATTTCTGCACTCACCCAACACTACTTAAAAACGATCTCAAGATTATCGTTCTAGGGACTTGGGATTGTTTGCTAACTCTATTTTCTGTTCTACTACACACTGACCTAACTAATTAATTAAGTTCCTTCAACTAACTCCGTAATACTATGTTGGGATTCAGATCCCGTATCATTCAATTATGCGCACACATGTTAATACAAGCAACACATAATGCAACAACACAAAACAAGACAAACCCTTTCACTTTGCGCAATCCGCTTTGTCAGTTTTAAATGCGGTCGAATATGCAACCAACATTACGGATTTGCATAACGTTAGTGTAAATCTTATCCAGTTACCCTGTATTTATTTCTCAGCACGGAACAGACCTCGGGCAATTATGTTGGTTGCGAAATATATCTTTTTGCTTTGTGTGTTCGCTTTTTATAATTGTCGATCATTACCGTCATTAGTCTACCTAAACCTTGAAATGTCCCTTTATAGCGATAATTAAAACGTTAAATACATATATCTTGGTGTGTTAGAGTTTAGTTAGATTTTTGTACTTTCTTGTTACAGGGGGACGTGCAAGAGAAGCAAGAGTTTGTGCAGGAAGAGAGTTTGTTTGCGCGATTCGTGCCCAGAGTGCGAAGGACGTTTTGGACGGCAGTACCCCTAATATGTATGGTGGGCTGGCACCTGTTCCAGATTAGTTATTCCATGTAGATTAAGCGATGTACGTAGGTCATTTGCGCACTGCCTGTGTTATGTGTGTTGTCCAAAGAGGAGCAAAACAAATCAAAGAATTGATCTCATTTAGTACGAAAGCGTACTCTCAGGAATTTTTATATGGTATTTGATTTGAGAAGAGAAATAATTTGTAAATTAATGTGTACATATGCATAAAGATTCTAAAGTTGGATTCAGTATAGCCAAAGATTGAATGGTGCCAAAAGGCCTGAGTTAAGCAGGTGGGCGGGACGTCGTCCCTTTGTTCGCTTTCGCTACCATGAGTCTGACTGTACTGTAGTAAGTTAAGTGTGGAGCAGCACTGCAGCAGTCTGGTCAGGTCTGGTTCTGGTTGCAGTCGGCTGCCCTAAGGTTTTCAAATGATCTCCGTAGTTAGAATAGCCCGGTGCGGCGAAAGCTGGACACGTGCCGATCCAAAGTGCCGATCAGCCCGCACCTGAATTGTAAATATTCGCGTAGGCCGGCTATTCTTCAACACCGGCCAGCTACAGCTTTTTTACTTTTTTTTTACATATTATATAGGAGCTCGTGTACATACATAAATACTGATATTTTTAAATGAATTTAAAGCAATTGTAACTAGTTTAGCTTAGTAGTAGGTAGTTTTAGTACGTTGCGCCCGCTGTAGATGGCTCTTCAAAGCGTCTCTGTGATTTGCCGAAGAGGCAATTTTTTGTGCTTTTGAGCACTTCAATCCTGTTAATTGATCTCTGAATACATTTTGTCAAAATGTTTTTGTTCGTAGTTATTATACTCCCTAGTCAGTATAGTAGTTTATTTAAGTGTTGACTAGGTTTTTTGATTATTATTATTTCGTAAATTCTAGAACTAGTATGTTATTGTTTAGTTGTTTTTATGAACTGATAATGCCATATGTTCTTAATTATGATGTAAATGTATTATGTTCGCCTTGTATATTACCTGATCTGAGCTGGACCAAGCCGGCCACCGAGGCCCATTGTGTGATATTAAAAGCCCTCGGCAGACCAATAAACCAATTCAGTTAGAATTGCTTATGTATTATATTTTTATTTCAAATAAATGTCATAAGTTTTATACATGTTTATAAACATATATCTATATAATATTCTATTTTTTGTGAAGTATGGAAAACTATACGTTGCGGCGAATTATGCAGCCAGTCTAATGTATACCATACTCACATCTACTCCCGATGGTCTTTCACTTGTAACTTTTTCACTTTTATATAGTTGATTTGAAATAAATATAAATATTGAAAATTTGAAAAAACTTTTATCTCTTCCACCTAACTCCTAATTCACGCAGTGGTCTCGCCGCTATCCGCAGTGGTTATGTATCGCTCGATAAAAATAAACAATTCAAGAGGTCTACTTAACCGCGAACAATTTAAAAACATAAACAGCACATTGGATGCTCGTCTTTCAAAGTAATGGTGTTAATTTCTAACAAAATAAACACGACGACTGTTCGAGATGGCGACATGTGTTGCAATGTGTTGTTTTCTCATCTCTAACCGACCAGATGACCGTTTTGTCTTTCAATCACTCCCAAACTAGATTAATATCTAGAACTCATAACAAAACGTACCGTCGTGCCTGCAGTTTTAAGTTTCGTATTACAACCATAACACAAAATCTTCCATGGTAGGTAAGTAAATTCCAGTTCTATTCAACGATTAGCCTGAGGTGGTCATACTTTAATGGTTAATAAATTACAACGCATTTGCTAAATGTAACATTAACCATAATAGTAATCGTGATAATATACAACGTTTTGTTGTCGACCCGACTCTCTTTTTCAATCAAATTAGGACAGACCGTGCTTGACTCCCAAGTATTTTCATTTTGGTGGGTCTGATATTGCTTCTCGGCCTTTCAAGTGCGTAATATTGGAATATCTAAAAATACGTACTGAAACGTAAATGGACTGTCGGTAGAATCAACTTGCTCAACCGGAAAGTTACAAGTATATCGGTTAAAATTAAACATCCGAATACGTCTGCAACTATTGAAAATGTTATACACTGTAGACAAACAAATCTTTCGGTTTTGGTATTCACTGTATACCAACGCGGTGGAGATTTGGTTCGGTTAGAGCATCTGACCTTGAATCCCAGACGGCTTGACGCCCGAACATTTACGTGACTGATGTTGCAACTGAACACAGCCAGGCAAATTTGATATTTTTTACTAAATAATATCTACTGAACCGTAGAGTCGTAAATCTTTCACGGAACAGAATTAACGACAGTCGAAAAAGCCCATTATACAAGTCATTATCTTCACAAAATTTGTTTATCACTCCTGCTGCTCCTTCGTGTCAAACACAATTAAACCGCAATCTTTGGATTTCCACTGCTATTTACATATATGCAAAAGGTTTCATGGAGAACAATAGCGGAGTGTCATCATAGCACTGGCAATAATTAATCAGCAAATAGTGTGTGGTTGACTGATACAAAGTGCCCATTTCCATCATCTAATTATTCTTGACAAGTGTGATAACCCTTTGGGTTACTGTGTTTGATAGGTGCTATGTAAATAATCCACGCCAAAAAACAATTAACAAGAGCACTGTTGAAAGAAATACGCTCTGCGCGGTTCCTTCAAGTGCTCGAGATTATTATACTACCATTCAACACGTTCTGGTCGAACAGACATTTAGAAGTACCTCGACAATCAGCATCCCCTTTTGTGTAGATTGATACCCACTGCACTGAAATTTAATTTAGTTATGATATTTTTCGCTTGCATTCATCAAATTAAGGGTTAGATCTTATTAGAGAACGAGTGTACATCGGTTGAAAAAAGATAGATCGTGTTGATTGGTACACTCGTTTAAAAAAAAATTGACTTTAAAATGATTCATGACTAACCCTAATAACCGGTTATCCTTTTTATGAATTTTCAATGTGTACGTTTCATTGTGACGCGTCATGCGCTGTCAAAAATTGCGTTTAATTTGACGTGGCGTGAACATAGCGTGTAGCTTACATATCGAATTAATTTTGTCACAGGGTTTAAGATTCGAGAGATGAAAATCCGTGATCCGCATAATCTAAATGGAATTGAAACCGGTGTCAATTCGAAACATTATCTCACTTCGCTCGCTTCCCCTATTGTAAAGTTAAAAAAGTATTTGGCGTTGTGCTGTGACGGATTACTGCAGGGCTTAATGTCAACATCATGATTCAAATTACAGCTATACGGTTAACCGAGGCATTGCCCATTCTTTTATCGACATCTAGTCTTACGCATCTAACCAAGGGTTGAATGCTAAATTACAGAGTGAAAGGCGTTCATTTTCGCAACGTATGCATTGTGTCTCGTTAGAGAGCTATATCACAAGTAATGATACACCACTCGGTAAAGTCACACAAGCAAGTCTTACTCTTTAAGAAAACGAAAGTTTAATTGTCTAGTTCAATGGTCTCATTCAAAAGTGTTAAAGGGGTAATTCTAACCACATTTTTGTTTCTTAACTATAAAATTAATGAGGTGGTATTAAACAAGTATCGACAACAGTATCTCTGTTCATCTCACTCGTCTCCAACGTGATGAACTGATGATCAATTTTCTCTCACTTGGGTTAAAATTCGTAATCACATTGCGTGCCCACTCTGCTTACAACAATTGCATTGTATTAACTGTTGCAACGTGGGTGTAAGAATGCGTAATACATGAAGCAAACAACATTTGATTGTTTCATGTAGTCCGCACAATCCCCCATTATCTTGTATCTGTTTTTGACACGTGACTTAAAAGGGGATGCTGGCGAGAACAATCATTTGATTTGGAGTTACTCATCTTTTTAATCTTTTTATTTTCTTTTCCTATTCGGTTCGCGTCGCAGTTTAGGGTGCCTGCGAATTAATTTTCTATATGGATTTTTTGTCGACTTGATTTTACGCGTTAGCGACACTTATTCTTCCATCAAAAATACATCAACATCATTTATCACGATCACGGATAATGAAGATATATAAAAAACGGTCTTAACCAAACCTTGAAGTCTTTTGGCAGCACTGCTTGTTTGTACACGTCCGTGTTCTCAACTCAATTCAATATCTATAAGTATGTATCCGTTTTGTCCGGGATCGCTACGAACTACACAGCGAGTAATTTTCAAGAATTGTATCTGCTTTTATGCCAAACCGCTGCACGAAGGACCTGTGGCTCGATTCCCGACCAAGCCGGAGCACCTTGCCCCGGGCTGTTTGTGTCCGTTCTGAGTGTTTGAGAAAGTGGTGGTTGGCCTTGTCCGTAGGGGGTGCACACTTAGACCCACACATTAAAAAAATCGGCCATCACAATGTAAAAAGGGACCTGCTTAAAACTTAAAGCGGTTAAAGTACTACTGTAGCATAAAACAGTTCGGGACGTGAGTTTACCGCAACCGCACACTGCTAAAAAACATGCTTTTTATGCAAGGCAATCTCTTGTCCGTGGAATCAAGTCTTTAATTTGCCGGACAGATGACTTCTATTATAATACATTATGTAACTTAAACCGCTTGATCGTTGTGTCTAGGACGAATGACAAGCTTACATTTATTCATCGATAATAGGTATTTAATACCGAGTAGGAGGGGTTTTGAATATGTCTTATAGTCTTTCTGTCAGGTCAAGTCAGGTTAGTTCGGGTCAGGTCAGGTTAGGTCCGTTCTGTCAGGTCAGGACAAGTCAGGTAAGGTCAGGTCAGGTCAGGTTGCTTCTAGAATATAACAGAGTAGGCCCATGTTTCCGTCTATATTTTAAAAAGAAAAGTTGTCTGTGTGCGAAATAATATGCTTCCTTACTTGTGGTTTATTAATCTAGCCTTATTTTTAATACTGTTCATGTAAGTTTTTGCAAAACACTCAAATTGGTAAAAAAAAATTCCTATTTATTTTGTAGGCCAAAGAGTCAATTGCTTTAGGCATGATTTTGCCCCAAAAATAGGCTAAACCCCGTGTATGCGCAGAATCAAGTTAATTTAGAACCCGAGTCAGCGCACAAATTCAAATTTTCCAGCCAAAAGTGGCCTATAACCCAAGCATGCGCAGAATCAAATGGCCAGAACCCTGCGCACGCTAAAAAAAGTGGCTTAGAACCCTCAACATATAATTACTATGTATCCCTAAACAGAATTTATCTGTTTACCTAAAATTTTGGAATGTTTACAAAAGCAGTTGTACATGTAATTTTTTTATTTTCCTGATTGAAAAAGTCTTGAATGCCGTAGTGTTTTTTTTAATTCGGGAGACTCTTGGGTGTTTTATTTTGGCTTTTGGGAGCCCATGGACATTTTTTTTGGTAAATTAGTTAAAACAATTTTGGGGGACTTTGGTGTTCTATTTTTGGAAAATTCTAACCTGACCTCTTTTGAGTTAATTTTGGGACCCGTTTTTTTTTGAACAATTTAAAACAATCTTGAGGTTCCTGCTTGGAAAAAATTTAAAAGTGCTTTGGAGCCTGTAGTGTCTTTTCTTATAATAATTTAATTAAATTTTTTAGAGAATAAATCATTTGCTAAAATCAGTCTTATCTTAGCAGGTACTAGCCCCGCCCACCCACAATTAGTTTTAATAGGTTTAACTTTTTCCTACAGAGTCTTTCATAAGCAAGCAAAAGCCCCGCCCACTTACCCTCTCTTCATTCCAGTGACTACTCTAAATATTGTTTAGTTCTATCTTAGCAAGTTTTAGCCCCGCCCACTCACCCTTTTGTACCATTTGCTTAAAATTTATTTCTTATTTCAGAAGAAAAGAAAAAGAGAACGGGTGGGTGGGTGGGGCTAGGTTTAACTTTTTCCCACAGAGTCTTTTATAAGCAAGCAGAAGCCCTGCCCACCCACCCCAATTTGATTCCAGTGATTACTCTTAATATTGTTCAGTTATTTACTAAAATCAGTCTTATATTAACATATAATAGCCCCGCCTAGCTGCCCTCTATTTTGTGAGAAGGCATGTAATTTGCTATAGTTAACCCCGCCCACCCACCCGTTTTTACAACAATCCTTTTCATAATTTTAAAAAATATTTACTTTTAAATTTAAATAATAAACAATTTCATGTTATATAAACCTGGGTAGAATTTGATATGCTCTATTTTGCGACGTAATATACGTAAATATAGCAACAAATAATTTAATTTTAATAAAAAGATTCATAGTCTGAAGAACCGCAAGAAAATTTAATTGAAAGTGCTTTTTCTACAGTCTCGAGGCACCATCTGGTCAGTTTTTTTTTATTTAAGTGCATTTGTAATCAGTTTATTCAAATTTTAAATTTGTTAATTTTTTCTGTTGAACAATAAATTTCGCCTTCTTTCTGCGGCAATAAATTTTAGTAACTTATCAGATACTACATGAAAATGGAGGGTGGATGGGCGGGGCTAGTACTTCCTAAGATACGACTGATTTTGGCAAATGACATACCTTCTAAGAACATAAAGAGCGGGTGGGTGGGGCTAGTATTTGTAAAGATAAGGCTGATTGTGACAAATGTACCCTCTAAGAAAATAAAGGGCGGGTGGGTGGGGCCAGTATTTGTAAAGATAAGACTGATTTTGGCAAAAGTACATTCTAAGAAAATAAAGGGGGGGGGGGGGTGGGCTGGGCCAGTATTTGTAAAGATACGAGTGATTTTGGCAAATGGCATACCCTCTAAGAAAATAAAGGGGCGAGTGGGTGGGGCTAGTATTTGTAACGATGGGATTGATTTTGGCAAATGACATACCTTCTAAGAAAATAAAGGGCGGGTGGTTGGGGCTAGTATTTGTAAAGATAAGACTGATTTTGGCAAATGGCATACCCTCTAAGAAAATAAAGGGAGGGTGGGTGGGGCTAGTATTTGTAACGATGAGACTGAGTTTGGCAAATGACATAGCTTCTAATAAAATAAAGGGCGGGTGGGTGGTACTAGTATTTGTAAAGATAAGACTGATTTTGGCAAAAGTACCCTCTAAGAAAATAAAGGGGGGGTGGGCTGGTCTAGTATTTGTAAAGATAAGACTGATTTTGGCAAATGGTATACCCTCTAAGAAAATAAAGGGCGGGTGGGTGGGGCTAGTATTTGTAACGATGAGACTGAGTTTGGCAAATGACATACCTTCTAAGAAAATAAAGGGCGGGTGGGTGGGGCTAGTATTTGTAAAGATAAGACTGATTTTGTCAAAAGTACCCTCTAAGAAAATAAAGGGGGGGTGGGCTGGTCTAGTATTTGTAAAGATAAGACTGATTTTGGCAAATGGTATACCCTCTAAGAAAATAAAGGGCGGGTGGGTGGGGCTAGTATTTGTAACGACAAGACGGATTTTGGCAAATGACATACCTTCTAAGAAAATAAAGGGCGGGTGGGTGGGGCTAGTATTTGTAAAGATAAGACTGATTTTGGCAAAAGTACCCTCTAAGAAAATAAAGGGTAGGGTGTGCTGGCCTAGTACTTGCTAAGATAAGACTGATTTTGGCCAATGGTATACCCTCCATGAAAATGGAGGGCGGGTGGGCGGGGTTAGTATTTGCTAAGTTAAAACTGAACAATATCAAGAGTAGTCACTAGGATGAAGAACAGGTGTAGAAAAAAACTTAACCCAGCCCATCCTCCCCCCATGTCTTTTCTCCATTTCACTGACTTATTTTATTTATTGTAAAATGGGAACTGAATTGTAGAATCTAAGATTTAAAACAAAGCCAGAAGTGACCCCGTTTTTATTCACTAACGTCCCTACTTACATAACAATTGTCAGACTTTTGGGTATTTTTCACAGTTGTGACGTCAACAAAATTTTGCACTGAACACCTGTCAGCTGGACAAAAGGATCAAAAAGCCGCCACTAAATATATTTTCTAGTGTCCAAATTTTATTTATTTATTCACAATTCAAGCTGTCATTTAAGCAGTCATTTTTGCAATATTTTTAAGATTAACAAAAGATTTTCAAATTGAATATTTCGAAAATCTTTCTCTGACACATGCAAGATTTTTGGAATCAACAGTCGAACTCTATACTCTAGATTTTTTTGTAAATTTTTAGGCAACTTTTTCAAAACCTCAATTCCCATAGCTCCACCCCTATGAATTTGTTTTTGCAGATTTCAACTTTTCGGGTGGTTTTTTCGAAAATTACTACCATTTTTCCAGAATTGCGTAATGAAATTTGGCAAATTTTAAGATAAAAAAAAAAATTGAATTTTTACGTGAATTTTTCGAAAAAGTTTCATACATTTTTTGAATCGGTAGGTATGTCGAAGTCAAAGTCCCAGAATTATTTATGAATTATTAAACAACTTGTTCGAAAATTACCTAAAGACGTTTTCCTGTAGACTTCAACCTTTAGAAGTTATTTTTGGTACATTTGTTTCGAAAATTTCCACAATTTCCACCATTTTTTAAGAATCACCCAATGAAATTTGGCAAGTTCTAAGATTCTTTAAAAAAATTGATTTTCAAAAAGGATATGTATTTTCAAAATATTTCTCTGGACTATAAACACACTATACTTTTTGAATCAGCACGTCGGAATCTATATACCTGATTTTTTAGCGAATTTTTGCAAAACTTTTTCAAAAACTCAATTTTTCCATACTCTGTCCTAAAATTTTCGAGGGATTAGTGAACATTTACTTTCGGTGTCCAAAAGTGTTTACCGGAAACCCCTCAGGGTTATAACACTTATATCGATGATTTACAACGCTTGCCTACTAAATATGTGCACGCACGTCTGATTCATAGACACTTTGTTACAAGCAATCGGAGGAAAGAGAAATTTGTTGGTCGTTTATGACTTAGCACCGGCTTTCTACCTTTTGTAGTTGTTAATTAGAATTTTTCATTCAAGTTTCGACTGTTCTAAATAGATTTTTTTGTATTTATCTTTTCTTGTAGACCCAGTATTTATTCCGGGCTCTAAAATCTAAAATATATAATCTAACGATTAGAATCTTTGAATTGAAATTTCATCACTTCTCGACCTGACTTACCATTTACAACATTTATGTTGCAGTCCCGTATTGAAACTGAAATTCTTCATTTCTTCAAGCTTCCAGATAGACTTCTTCAGGTACCTACTGCTTTTTGATATCTAAATCAATAAAACGTGTCCATATTTTTTCTTTTTTAATCTCACTTAACCGTCGAATAGTATTATCTCCTTTACCGGCGATCTTTACCATCCTCTCTGGAGGTCCCAATCTATGACTTTTTTAAAAAGGGTTTTGCTGGCGCCATTGCGTAGATAGAACTTTGAGTTTACGACAGGTAAACAACATAAGACAAGGTTGACGTTACTAAGTAGTCAAACGTAGCGAGAGTTTCCTAACCTTACTTTTAGTATGTAAATTTAAGAATCCTGCTACGTCACGTTAATTGAACGAGGAGACTTGACACTCTCTGACACGAGATATGAATTTGTGAAGTTTGGATTTATTTTAACAAATTGCTTTTCGTTTCTGTCCCCTTTCTGTTTAAAATTGCGTGTAACTAATTCGCGACAGCATTAAACGGGTGAATATGATAATAGAGAAGTGAGTGATAAGAAGGCGGTGGCATATACAGAGTGGGTGTGTGTGAGACATTAAGAGGGTGTCTGTTATTTTGCTAGAGAGTGCCCGTCAGTTCGTCTTCGCTTGTCTTTTGCCTATATCATGACATATCACGCCTCCTTACAAGGGTTCTCTACGAAAATGACGTTTCCATCACCATAATAATGCAGCCTTCTTTGTTAAACAAGTTAAAAAAATCTTCCCTTATTGCACGGATTCGTTTTGGCTAATTTCGACTTAATTGGTTTCGGTAAAACAAACAAATTTATGAGGTCTTGGGGTGGGTTTCGTATGTGTTCATTAATGGATATAGTGTGAAGCCACGTGCGGTCTTTTTTCTGCTAAAAGATAGAACCGAGGGTGTTGTTACTTGACGCTGAAACGCGTGTGTCTGTTTTTATTCCATTTGTGTTTGACCATAATCCATTGTGTGTATTAAAGCCGGATTGAGTTGATATGTGACTACTACATGTAATCTTTTCACTAGAAGCAATTGATTATTGTAGCGACTTAATCTCACAAATCTGATTTTAATCAGAGATTCCGTCAAAACGAGACTCGTTGCCAAATAATAAAGTTCAAGCTGATGTCCGCTTTTCCGAGCTGGAACGAGTTACTCGATTGCATAGTAATTGTATTTATTTTATTATTCGACTTGAGACCCGGAACGTGTCAGTAACACCACATGTCGTCATGACATTGCGTAAGGCGTGAAATTAATGGTAATTATCAGTGGAATGAACTGTCAATTCAAGGGTTTTCCCAATACAATGGGGGTGTAACAATCTGACATGTATTACTTTTCATACAACGCTGTGGCAGGGTATATCATGCTAAAATTATAGTGGGGACCCTAAAGAAATACAAAGCTCATTGTTGCAACCGCAGAACATATATAACAAATTTCTGATGAAATTCTTCAACTTTGATACAATTTCACAACGATCAAAAGACCACGTCGGCAGAAAATAATTAAGTTCTCGACTCAAAGGTTTTTCAATAATTAAAAAGCAGCAAATTGTAATTCATTGTCACGCATAGAGATGTAAAGATTTTAAATGAACGTAATAATAAGTAACGGATAACAAAAGATTCTTTGACAGTGACGAACTTCAAAGTGTATCGCAACACGTTGAATCGAACCCTCTTTCCGTTTATCCCTTAATACCATACAAATCCGTGCTTCCATATAACAGAATGGGAGCTTACCGCAGTTTTTGTCGCTGCTGTGACTATGTTCTTTTCGCAGATTTCAAGAAAATCGAAAAGATCGTAATTTACATTACACACCCAGATGCGTTTCCCTCCTTTTAAAGAAAATTTCCACAAAAATGCAAACTTTATTAAAATCGCAAACAATGAATAAATAATAGGGGTTCAAACGGGGAAACTAAATATATCTTTGTTGGAATTGAATTCTCTAACAGGAATACCCTCTGGCTCTGCGTAATAGAAACCCTCATTAGGTCTTTCATATCTAAAGCTTACGAAATTATTCTGAAGATTATAATGTTTCTGTTTATAATTTGCATCTAATTCTTCGGAATCCAACCTCAAATCTCCCGTGCCGGTCCTCACTGGAAATATTACAGGGGTGGCTGTGTGATGAGGTAGAGGCCGTTGCAAATCCAATTCATTAGAGTAATATTCGTTAATGGAAAAAGGTAATTCCTTTGGTTTCTTAAACGTAAATTCGTTAAAACGATTATCGTCCTCGTCGTCGTCTGTCGGAAAAGATAAAGTTTTCGGAAACCGGTTATACCGGTTGAAGTTGACGTCATTATCGGAGAAAACAACTGCATCATTACCCGGAACGTGCACAGGCTTGTTCTGAATCCGTTTCTGAGCAAAATTCGGTCCTTGAATATGATTTAGCAACCCGTAGCCGTGATAATTCTGGTGATGGTAATAGTTTTGGTGGGGCTTAGAATTCACCCCGTTAAAATATCTAAAAAATCCGCCATTATAGTTGTTCAAGTATTGCACCAACTTGTCGGGTTCCCGCGGGCATAGAGGGTAAGCACTCAAACACGAATCCGAGTTACCCTTAGACACGTAGCCCAAAAGTGCAGCTTTTGCAAACACGGGAACCGGGGAACCACCAGGGAGGTCTATAGATGCCAACAATCTAGAAACAGGGTTAAGTACACGATTGGTAGAAAGTGAGATGACTCACCTAATTATAGATGCCACATCAAAACTAAACGGAAGAGTAGGCAAAGAGAAACCTTGCCTACTTTTAGAAATGGTGTCCGAAGTTACTTCACAAAGCAGTCTTGGGACACATCGAAGCGCATCGTTTTTTGAAATTGTGTAAAGTACATCCATGATGTTGTGCGGGGTGTCAGGGCGAAAATATTGCGGCCTTTGCGGATAATAACTATAGCTGGGGTGATTATGTGTGAGTTTGTTAATGCACGAGAAATAATTTATGTCAGTGGTTTCATAAATACAGGGGTTACGAATTCGGCGACTTTCTATAGCGTAGTTTGTTAAGTTGCTGCAAAAATTGTCTTTACTACTAACTGACGTTGTTGGGGGGGTACAACTTACAATAGTATCTCGGTAGTCGTTTTTAGTTTGTTTTCGACTGAGAAGCATTTCGGTGCAAACACTAGTACTAGCACTAAGAGATAAAATTTAACTTTTGACATTGTGTTAACGGTTCGGTTTTGTCGAGCTACACTGAAGAGAATTTAATCATCGATCTGCTTATAAAATTTCACTACGAAGAAAGTTCAGTAGGTGGCTGGACTTACCATAAATAAAATCCCACATACTCGACGGATTTGGTCCACATTTTTCTTTTATTAATAGAAATGAAATCAGTAATTAGGTCAGAAAGTGTGAGTGCACTTGCATACTTACACCGTGACCTATTTCGTTCCCTGCTTTCAAGATTAAGTACACGGACAAGAGGCAAAGGGTGTTATACCTACGTGCGAAGGGTGATTCTTTGTATATACAACACGAACAAGGAAGCTGATTTTAATAAAAACGTTTATTGAAAATGGTATAAAAATACAACTTTAGACTAATGAAGAAACGACAATTAATAAATTATGTACAGTTAAATAATACACTTGACACCGTTTCAGACGCACTTTGACACAACGTTTTTTCTTTCAAATTAATGAAGCTGAGCAGCTTCACGAATAATCAATCAGTCGGAGCAAACACGCCCTCTTTTGGCTAACTGATTGCAAAAACGGGGTGATGCAATAAAGTCGCCTAGAAACACACTCAACAAGTAGAATTCCTTCTGTTTCTCTTTGGTCACTTTGTAGTTGCTAAAAAACACAACCTACTGAGATAATTGTTATTTTAATAAATTTATAATGAAGTCAGTAATAGGATATTGCTGTGAATTGTCATTAAACTGATACTGTCAAGCAATAACTGGGACCTTGAAGTGGTAATTGCGCGTAGTATTCAATTCCTTTTACACAAAGAATAGGACTGGTAAAAGTGAATGATACTCTCCTTGTCTACGCGACTACGGTAAGTTTTTGTTCTCTACGTGTTGCAAATATTAATAGATTACCTTAACTAGATACCGTTTTTACTACCAGTGATTAATATTTTCGCCACAGTTACATTAGAACAGTAAAATGAGTTAGTTGTTTTTGACGAATGGCAGTTTAATCAGTCCACTGATACAACTCTACAACTCCGAAGTTGCCGCGTCGAAAAACTGCTCATTAATACCACGATCGTAACTTTGAAACGTAATTTATGACGGTAATGTTCGTGAAGGAACAAAGAAAATCGATGAGAAAGAGAGATTAGTTTTACTCGCGAACATCACTTGAATAAGACATTTGCATAATGTTAATATTAAGATAATTTTTATACAATTTAATATCTCATAATTTAGGGGCGAAATAATAGAACGGGAAACGAAACCCCGAGAAAAAAGATAAAAGCTTTAACGAACTCCTCCAAATACGAAAATTGTTTTCTCAACAAAATGAAATGAAACCTTGTTCGTTTTTATTTATTTACCTGAAGATCTCGTCCCAATCGACGACCATTTCTCGCCTGCCTTTGCTCTTACTAGCCTTGTCTGCGTGATGTAAACAAACTTTTGGGTAAATGCAGACAGTTTCTCCGAGTTCTAAAACTAATCTTTTCTCGGCTTCAATCATATCGATCATGTCGTCCTGAGATGTGATTGCCCTTCGAGCGCGACCGGAATAGGTTTCTGTTAGGAAAGATTATTTCATTTTAGAGAGAAAAATCAAACCATAGTACAATTGTACTACTGCAGTTGTCACTAAACTCGGCTTTTACTGATTTTAAACATAATTCATGTTCATTGTATGCGCTATTACTTGAGTTGGAGAAATTTCGAATTTGAACTTTTAAAATGAGTGTGTTTTCCCACTGATTATAATCATGTGTACATGCCATGAGACGCCATTTTTTTATTACCAGTGATAATTGGTATCATCAGGATACTTACTTCATCGTCAGTTACAAAATCTAAATTGTATAATTATATAATTGCCAACGACACATGTGATTATTTTCCACTAATAATTGTGTTAGTTTTTACAACGTTGTGTTATTTATTTTTACGCAAACCATATTTTGTCAAAAATTCGTATGAAAATCCATAATTTGCCGTTATGCCGTGCTCGATCACCATGCGACACTACAAAATGTCATTTTAAACCATGCGATGAAAACATAACCCAGAACTGGTTTTTGCGTGACCATATTGTCTGTGTTCATTGCACCGAATTTCTCATTCACACACAAGGTCGGAAATATTTGCGATATGACGCCTTTTGTCTATGGTTTTTTTTCAAAAGAACGTCGCAATCTTCAATGTGCGAAGATTAGAAAGCATTACTAATATAAGCGTTTGAGTAAACAACAGCAATTAATTGGTGAAAAAATGAACGCATGTGCTACTTGAAATTCGAAAGGAATGAAAATTCAAATGACCACGTTTTCTTGTGCAATATGATAAATTTTAAATAAATGTAGTTTCAACATTCACTCTCCATTTTAAGATTAAAACCAACTACAACAAGGTGAAACAAAAATTAATACTTACTCGGGTTTAGGGAATAGGCCAACTTTTTCACAAAATTGGACAATCTAACCGCTATTATTATCACTGGGAATCCGACGAGCTCCACTGGTAATTCGAACGCTGGTTGCTGTGCGGCCGTGGGGTTGGTTTCTTCCAGTATTATAAGCGAACAGTAAAAAAATACATAGGTAAGAAATACCAACGATAACGTTTTCATCTTGGCAGCCGCTAAAAACACCGAAACTAGTAATGGACTTGAAAACTTCTGCTGACTAGACGTGTATGAGTGAAAGTGGCCACCACTCCTTCACTTTAAGAACATTTAGCTGGTAGATAATGTTTAATATTCCTAAAGAGAGGCTACGCAATCGAAAGTGAAATGTATATCCATATCAAAGAATAAGTTAACCGCGGAATTTAAATTTTAAATTTGCGCTTTCAAAGCTCGTAAACCATCACGGTTTCTATTTTAAAAGCTGGATACAGTTAATATAGTCTGCAGTGAGGTTTTCAGGTCAGTGCTGCGTAGAGGATTAATTCTGATGTAATATAAATTTTAGATTTAGCAATATATACAGGTGTCCCACGCACCATACAAACACCAATCAAAATTTATACATACTCCTGTACTTGTGGTGTATGAATCCGCTTTGATTGTTTACGTTTATTCGTTCGTTAGAGATTTCTGGAACACTCTGTACGTAACATATTGATTTTCAAAAAAATCCACTCCTTGGGGAGCTTTAAACACTGACGTTACGTATAATATTCACGTGCATTATACGCCTATTTGGTAATTTTCATATGCAATGACAGAATTCTATTAGATTAGTATAATTATTGCCAACGTAATAAGCCTACGTTTAACGCTTAACGCACAGCTACCATAAACCGCTGAGTTTACGATCAGGAAACAAAATACCTCTTGTTTTAATTGTTGCATAAATTGCGTATGAACGTATCGACAGATAATTATAGACACAAACGTAGTTAAAAAGTTGAAGTGGCCACATAAAAAAGTAAATAAGAAGGGCTGTGAATAACATTAAGAACTCACTGACATTAAGAATGGCAGCGAAATAAAAAAACAGGCATGGAAGAATTCTCATCATGATGATAACAAGTACTTAGGAAATAAAAGGACAATGTTTATGTCGCTAAACAACGAGTAAAAGTTATAAAAGCATTTACAAGTTACGATGGCTGCAATAAAGCGTCAGGCATATTTCAGACATAATTCATTACGCTATTTATAAAGTACCCTACTATTTGAGACCATATAGTAAACTTTGGACGCGTTTCTTTAACGTGCTAACAGTAGTTACCTCGGAAAGAATTATATCTTCACGTCTTGTAATTTGTATAAGACGAAAGTTAAAATGTCCGTACGTCAGAACGCGTAAAGTAGAAATTTTATGTTCGGACTAAACTCGATTATACAACAAAGGAACGTTACATACAAAAGCTGATTTAAGTGACCATCGCGAAAGGTTTGTTAGAAATTACTGTCTCTGAAAAAATCAAACTAGCGGTGTAGTCTAGTAAATTATTATTTTTACAGGGTCGTGGATAATGCACCATTTCGAAATAATCCTCATAAAACTGCACATATTATTTTTTTAATTGTTCTCGTTAAAATGATCTAAACATTAATCATCGTGTAACTACTGTGAGTTAGTTGACTGGATAGAGATGTTTTGAAATTGCTTTACAACTTAATGGTTATGGCTTTTATTTACGACCAACATGCAAATTTTATACCTCAGATTTTTTGTTTCAGACAATCATTTTCAAAAGAGTTAGTGTCCTTATTTTACAAATTGAGCGCTGGGTTAAAATATGATTGTGTACTTCGTTCATAACCTGACGTTTCATTATATAGAATATTCTCACGAAAGATATATATTTTTTATTGTCATGGAAGACAATAGAGTCGAGAAACTTCTAATTAATTAATATCAATCAGTAACATAAAATAAAAAAATTGTCAAATATTGGATACAATGTTATACACTAACACATCAAGTTGACCATAGAGACAAGGTCTTAGAAGATAACCCCATTATGTCAGTGATTCAAAGAAGGACGAACTGCTTATTAACAATGAATCCGACTTCCAAGACAGATGGTGAATGTAGAAAGACGGCTAAAAAGGTTAAAAAACAGAACAAGGCTTTCATGGAAATGAAGAACAAGTTCGTTAAGTAAAAAAAGTGCAATGTCTAACAAATTAAGCTTGCCGTTTTACGAATCTTTATTGATTCTTCAGGTACGTACATTTATACAAAACGTGTAATCATTTTAACAAAATATACATAATTTACAAATAGTACTAAATACATAGTGTCTTTATATAAGAACAGTCTTAACTGTAACAAAGTAATATTAATATAATAAGGTGAGTCATAAGATAAGAAGTAAAGTGAATGAAATACTGACTAGCGCGCGTGATCTGAACACAACCCTTACATCTTTAATGATTATTTACGTTATACGTTTTCATATCTATGACAATCTTAGTATAACGTTAATCAAAAAAGTTGCTAATTTATTAAGCCTATCAAGCCATAAAGTGAATAAGTTAACACAAATTCTACTACACTAAGTACATACATAGAGCTCCTTTACATTATCATATTTACAAATTACATGCACAACAGTGCAGGAACTATATTATATATTAATAGTACTTAATATAAAGTAACTAATCGCCAACAACTAAAGGTTAGTAGAAACATATTCTGACGAATATGACAGCAGATTTTCATTTTTAACATGAAAAGTGTTAATGTTAATTTGGCACTTGAATTAACATACAAAATTTTGCTCATATTCCCACTAACCACATCACAAGCGGTGTCAAAATTTGTACAAACTATTTACATAATTACTGAAATATTTGCAATTTGCCCAGCACTATAATATCACATTTTACTTAAATAAAGTTACAATTTTATCTACCACCATTGCGACATAACAGACCCATAAATGCGTTTAGGTTAGGAACGACAACGATATTGTCACATTTGACTAGTGATTCTAACCTTACTTTTTCCAAGATGGTAACGACTAACGAGTAATAAATCAGGCACGTTTTAAATGTGATCGATCGAACAGATTAGATCACTTTTATGATTGTACGTTTCTAATCAACTTAATCCTTCAAATTTTCCGACTCGGTACATTATTAATCAGAAATGAAGCATCAAGAAGTAAAAGTTTCATGTCGCATTGTCTTTGTCAATTTACTGTACTAGATTGTTACGTTGTAACTAATAATTACAAAAAGTATAGGTATACTCTTGAACAAACTGTCAATTTACATTTTCTGCTTTCTAATTTAAAGTATTGATTTTAATAACTTGTAGGACAATTAAAACTTGGTAGCAATCTATCAACACGTTAAGAATTCACACTTACGACGTCATTCATTACATTTCTACCGCCCGCCAATTTCGTCCCTATGCTCTCGCTGATTTTTTGTGAAAGTTTGGAGTCTTTGTTTTCTCAACTCAATTAACCGAACGAATCAAGCGATAAAATCCCCTTTATCGCATTCTGACTTTTTTCATCATTTGCAGTACTTGAAGACCCGGAAAAGGACACGTCGGGTAGAAATTATGGCAGCCATTTCCCTCCACTCCAGCAATTAGCTGACCCATATGTGCGGCGAAATGATATTTGGATGTCAGTTCGGCCGTCGTGCTTATCGACGTATCTCTGTAACAGATATCAAAGAAAAACGTTTTCCTCAAAATCCACGTGTACGTGGGGTTAAGTAGGGACATTACTGTAATGACTTAAGTCGCCACTCTCATAACCGGTGTTTTGGAAATTATGTAAACAAGTTGGCTCGTTATTGGTATGAGAGTCAGGTCTGGCGTGGCGAAATCATCGATGTTACTGAAGTTTATTATTACAGCAGAGTGAAAGTGAGTGTTATGTATGCTTCCGTAATAGCTTTCGTTGAGGCAAATAATGTTGTGGAAGTTTCGTATTACTAATAATTAGTTGCTTACCTAAGAAGAGACAGGAGGGACTTTTCCGATTCCGTTAGTTTGTCTTTCTGCGGCGTTGCGTTTAATTCACATATTAATTTTGGCAAGCACGCATTCTTTATGGTTTGCAAGATTTCTGACTTTAATGTTGCGGCACCTAAAAATTAAGTTATATTTAAAAACATGTCCTAGCTTAACTAGCCATTCCCGGTAGTCTATGAAATGAAACTTTACATCTTATCCTCTTTTCGCATGTAATGTGTTCTAATCAATTAATGCTTTTATAATTAGTAGTACATTATTTTAACAAGATTTTAATATGGTTTTAATGATGAATGAGTGTGTAATGGGAAATCTATATACTGTTGTCAACGTGAACTTAGGAACAGCCGGTAAGAGGTTTGCCGTTCCATTAACTTCAAGGCAAATTGTCAAAGATCTCAAGGCAGACCAGATGTAAAGTCGCTCCGTTTCTTAAAAATGGTAGTGCGTTGGATAAAAGTCAAAATGTGGCAAAAACAAACCTAAATGTTTAATGGAATCGTGTTCGATGTCAGCATCTATGTCAATCTCGGTTTTAGGGTCCCCATAACCCGGGTTCTTCGGTCGGGGCGGCACTTTTCCATTTTCGTCCGTCCTGTTCCCACCGATTAACTTATGCACGAGTCCTGAGTAATCCGTAATGATCACTAAAATAACACACACCACAAACACAATCCGTATCACGATCTTTCCAGCGGGGACCATGGTGGTAACTAATTAAAGGGACAAACAATGCTTTATTAAAGCATTGTGAGACTGAAGTGGAGATACTCTCGCTTACCTTGCAATTTCAGGTTACCCCGCTCCTACAATGGGTCGCTCGTTGATAGTGAAAGTAAAAACCCAAAACCTACAACGCAACTACCACGGCCACCGGTTAACACAGATTAATTCAGTATCTGGATATCGTAAAAGTTCCAAGTCCGTTTCCGTCTTTCTACACATCATGAACAAACGAAAGTGAAATACCTCTTACCGGTTACTGATGCCTGTTGACTTGTGTTGTAACATTATCATCGGTCGCAGAAATGGAAAACGCAAACACTACTCATCCGCAAAAACTAAACACGTCGGACGAGTGAAGTAAGACGGTCTAGATTAACAGGTACCGCGGTACGAATATCATTTCATCGGTACGACTATCCGCTCTGATTTTGTTAAAGCTAGCTCCAGATAATCCCGGTTTGATAAATGAGTCATTAACACCTGTGCAGTTCTTTGATGATTCATTCACACCTGCATGGGATGATCTTCGAGGAACTGTTGCCCTAACCCGAGGTGACCCTTATAAGGGCTAGAGAAGAGGGGAACTCTCGTTGACTGTGCTCACTTACAAAGCAGGTTGTGATAATTATGTTCCAAATAAAAAAAATGAGCGCACCCGTATACACGTTACTGTTGAATACAGGCATGATGAAAGAGTTTTTATAACAAAGTTTCATTAAGGCAAAATTTGATACAAGCCACTTGCGAGACAACACGTTAACTTATTATTCGAAAAAAATTTAGAAAATTTTGTTTTTACATAAAAACACAACTTTCCACTGCCAATAAATCAGATTTATCAACCTAGAAAGTATTTGTTTTGGTGATGGAATATTTTGAAAGTCTTACATAAGCAGCGGTCTAATTTAAAATTTGGTTGATTCATTCAATAATCGCGCGGAAGTGAATTTGTGAAAAAGTGTCGTTTTTAGCATTTTTAAGTGCAACTAGCTGTTTACCAGTTTGACTAATTACCAATAAATTGTTTAATGCCACATGAAGCATGCGAGATATATTTCATGCAGCTTTGTGAGCAAGCATGTAAATAGATTTAATCTCAATAATTAATGATGAAAAAGCGATACAATCGCATAATTGATAAATGGCACCTGAAATAATATTCCTGATGACATTTACAAATATTCCGCATAAATAGAATAGTGAAAAAGATTAATCGACCCTAAACGCAACCGATCAATGTATCTCTTTGATAAATTCAGGCTGCAGCAAATGGAATGCAATTCCACTGGGAAATTTTCTGTTGAAACCAATCCGTCACATTCGAAATTGTTTGATAGTAGTAAATCGGTGATCAGCAAGTTTATGATGTGCTTATAATGATACAAACAGTTTATTCTATCATACTATATACCTGCACCATTTGCCAGTTCACACCGGACTCAAATTAGGGTTAGATTCGATCTCTCAAACATAATAACACAAAATGTTTAATGCCTGCCTACCCTCGAAACGAAACGCTTTTTTTCCACTAATTTGATCAATGTTGGCCATTAAGAGATTTTATTGCCGATTAAAACTGTTCGTATACTCTTTACTAACAGCATTACTATATCTATAATCTACACGGAACTAATTCGAGTACCGCTTCCTCGCGTTTCTCCCAGGTATCAAATATTCAGAGGTATTTTATTTGACGGAGCAAACGCAAGTGAGTAAACTTTTTTAGGAGGGGAGAGAGAGATCGGTTTTTTACTGATATCAATTAGATACCACAGACCGCACTTCCTACATGGAAAAATACACCGAAATGATGATCGTTATAATACAGCTGATTAATGCGCGTCTTGACAACGTGCTGGGAACGATATGGATTTTGCTCTTATTACGTAAATCTAAAATGCGCAAAATTTAGAATGTGCAATCGACAAAAAGTGTTCTCAAAATCGATATTTCGATGTAAACATGATGAGTTTATGTTATGTTGTGTTCATTCGACCGATGGTTGTCATTATAAATTAAAAAGGCTTGTACTTGTGGTTTATGAATCTATTTTGATTTTTTACCCTAGGTATCCGAATTATCGCAAAAATATAAAATTTTACAACATTTTGTACTAATATAAGAGAAACCTTGAACAACTGCTCGATACCTCGGTGGGTTGCAGCGTTGTGCTAATAACTTGAAGGTCACGGGTTTGATTCCAATGTGGGTCAATTTTTCTTTACTTCCCGACAGTAAGCCAAGGAGGTATTGTAATTAGCTTTATTTATTTTGCCGAATGGCTACTTTCACGTTTTCTCCACGTTCCATAACACCTAGAATATGAAAAACGTAGGTCTGCCATTTCTGTGTGTCTGTCTACCATCTGTCCGTCGTATGTTTGATTTTTATTACATTATCTCCGAAACTACCGAACCGATTGCCGTCAAATTTTATGTATATGTTGGGAATATCGTGTAAAATGTAAAATGCCAACTACTATTTCTCTAATCAACTCCAGCAACAATTTGATGACGTTCCATTATTTTGCGTAGCTAAGATTATCTAAATTTTATGAAATAATATACTCCTGTACTCGTGATTTATGAATCCGCCTTGACTTTTTTCACAATTTCCTTAGGATTTTTTGTGCAATATACCGGCTGTCTGGAAAATAGTGGATTAAATCTCCGTTACGCTCTTAACAATCAACTGGCGAGTCTGGGAAAAATAGTAAAAAACTTTTAGTTATAGTTTTGGAAATTTCGTTCTACTCTATAAAATTTTTTTGACAATAACGGCACGGACAGTAGTACAATGGTAAGAAATATTTATGGATCACACCAGTTCACCCTAATTTGTCGGAGAAATTTAGGTAGTTGTAATTTTCGTTCGTGAGTAACGTGAATTATTCTAACATCTGGGGATTACCGGCACGCGACAACTTTAATTTGTAAATATCTCTTGCTATTGTATTAATGCCCGTCTCGTTATTGCCAATAAAATTTTATAGGGTAGAATAAAATTTCCAAAACTATACAAAGATTTTTGTAATAAATTGATAAAATTCCATTTGACAACAATGTTTATAAAGCGAAAGTACAAATCAGCAAAAATCGAGTAAGCAGTTAAAAATATTTGACTATCAAAAATTGACAAAGTTTTCAAAACCCTACGTTTAAAATGCTCGCAGTTAATTTTATTTCCCCTGGTGTTTTATTGCTGGATGAACTTGAAAAGATTATTTGAGCTTTTATCAGTGTTTTATTTTTTATGAATTTGAGAAAATCTTCAGTGCCGTAGCCTTTTTGTTTTTTTAATTCGGGATCTATGGTGTATTATTTTGGGAGCCCATGGCGATTTTTTTTTTGTAAATTATTTAAAACTATTTTGGGGATCTTTGGTGTTCTATTTTTTTTTAATTTTGACCTGACCTATTTTTGAATTAGTTTTGGGATCCTGTTTTTTTTTTTTCAAAATTTAAAACATTCTTGAGGTTCTAGGTATTGCTGTTTGGAAAGGATTTGAAAGTGCTTTGGAGCCTTTAGTGTCTTTTCTTATTATAATAATTTAATTAAATTTCTTAGAGAAAACGTCATTGGCTAAAATTAGTCTAACAGATACTAGCCCCACCCACCCACCCTCTCTCTTCTTAGAGAGTGTCATTTGCCAAAATTGGTCTTATTTTAGTAGCTTAGCAGATACTAGCCCATTTCATGGAGGGCGGGTGGGAGGGGCTAGTAGTTCCCAAGATACGACTGACTTTGGCAAATGACATACCTTCTAAGAAAATAAAGGGCGGGTGGGTGGGGCTAGTATTTGTAAAGATAAGACTGATTTTGGCAAATGGAATACCCTCTAAGAAAATAAAGGACGGGTGGGTGGAGCTAGTATTTGTAAAGATAAGACTAATTTTGGCAAATGTACCCTGTAAGAAAATAAAGTGGGGGTGGGCTGGTCTAGTATTTGTAAAGATAAGAGTGATTTTGGCAAATGAAATACCCTCTAAGATAACAAAGGGCGGGTGGGTGGGGCTAGTATTTTTAACGATGAGATTCATTTTGGCAAATGACATACCTTCTAAGAAAATAAGGGGCGGGTGGGTGGGGCTAGTATTTGTAAAGATAAGACTGATTTTGGCAAATGGAATACCCTCTAAGAAAATAAAGGACGGGTGGGTGGGGCTAGTATTTGTAAAGATAAGACTAATTTTGGCAAATGTATGCTCTAAGAAAATAAATCAATTCCAAAAATCGGTCTTAGCAGGTACTAGCCCAACCCACAACCCTCTATTTTCTTAGCGGATGTGTCATTTGCCAAAATCGATCTTATTTTAGCAAGTACTAACCCCGCCCACTCGCCCTCTATTTTCTTAGAGGGATCTCATTAGCCAAAATCAGTCTTATCTTAGCTGGTACTAATTCTCTCAGAAAATAAAGGGCTAGAGGGTGGGGCTAGTACTTGCCAAAATAAGATTGACTCTGGCAAATGACCTACTTTCTAAGAAAATAAAGAGTGGGTGGGCAGGGCTAGTACTTGCTAAGATAAAAGTGATAATGCCAATGGCATACCCTCGAAGAAAGTAAAGGGTGGGTGGGCGGGGATAATACTTGCCAGGATAAGACTGATTTTGCCAAATGTTATATCCTTTACCCTTTATTTTCTTAGAGGGTATGTCATTTGGCAAAATCAGTCTTATTTTCGCAGTTACTAGCCCTCTAAGAAAATAAAGGGCGGGCGGGTGGGGCTAGTACTTGCCAAAATAAGACTGACTTTGGCAAATGACGTACTCTCTAAGAATATAAAGAAGGAGTGGCTGGGGCTAGTACTTGCTAAGATAAAACTGATATTGCCAAATGGCATACCCTCGAAGAAAATAAAGGGTGGGTGGGCGGGGCCAATATTTGCCAAAATAGTGTAGACGGTATGTCATTTTTAACAAAATCAGTCTTATCTTAGTAAGTACCATGGTATAAGAAGACATGGTATGCTATTGCGCATTTTGTGTGACGTCATGTGGCTGTCATGACCGCCAATTTTAAATTCTGATTTTTTGCATGTTCGTCAATGAACGATGCCAGATTTTGAACACATGCTATTAGCATCTGATTTCAACCCACCACCTTCGAACATAAGTTAACCCATGTTTAAAAACTGAACTGAATCTCAACCTCCGTTATAACCTCATATATCATTAATAAATTGACATTTGACAGCTTTGGCAGCTGTCAGAAAAACGCTTCAGGCACGGTTTTCAAGGCAATGTGACGTTAAGTGGGTGGTGCGCAAAGCAGTCAAAAATTCATCCACTGGAGTAGCATATCATGTCTTCTTGTACCATAGTAAGTACCAGGTCCGTCCACTCGCTCTTAAGTTTCTTATAGAGTAGGT